GAATTACCAAATAGGCCAGCTAGAGAAACTATGATTTCAGCAACTGGGCCTAGATTGTTTTACCAACAAGCTTGTGACGGCCCGGTTGAACCATGGAACTAGATGAACCGTTTGAAAAATATTTAACGATCTATTACTAAGAAAGAACTCTTGAGATTTCATTTTAAAATGTCAACATTTTCAAGAGAAGTAACACACACTTTTATATTCTTTATTATTCAATATTCAATTGATATGAAAATTTTAATTTTAATATGTCTATGCAAGATGGTGGTTCATCTGTAAAAACTAAAAATCAGATGAATTACCATATTGGACTTTCCGATACAAATAATCTACATACGTTTGTGGGGAAGACTTTAGTGATGAATTTGAAGTTTGCATCTCTATTGTACTTATAGTGAAAAGAAAATCAGCATATGACAAACTAGGAGTATGTTTAGTTCACGTACTTTTTTTTTTTTTTTTAAAACTTTTTAGTATGATAATGCATCGATTGGACATATAGTCCCCTGACCCTTATGAGCTCACACGAATACAAATTTGCTAATGTTATGAAACACGTAACTCACATCATATTTACATTGTAAAAAAAGGAATCCAAAGTAAGAGGATACAATTGGTAAGGCATTATGTTAACGTTGCTACAGAGATTGGCACTTTAATTTTCACATATTGGAAGCAGCTCTTAAGTCATTTTTGTAAACACTTTATTTCGATATATTATCAACAAATTGATAGAGGTATGTGTCGTCCAGTAACTACATGTATGGATATAAAAGCAAAGAGTTTGTCGTGGTCCTAAAAATGTCTTGCCAAAAGTAATTTGAACAAAAAAGTAGAGGATTAAAATGAATGACACAGGTCAAACTTGAGCAATGGTTTCATCATCTCTTTGCTTAAAAAGAGCAAAGAAATCATTGTCCTCTCAAATTTTATCCATGTTAAGAGACCCCAGTTCTTTTTCTTTTTCAACAAATGGTCAAAGACAAACAAATATGAAACACAAAGACAAAGTTTCGGAAAATATAAAATTTTGGCCCGCATGGCACGACGATATGAATAATTCCTTGGTGTTGCAGTTGCTTGCTGTCAAATAGTGCATCTCAATCATTTCACTAAAACGAAAGCATTTTTCACTAGCCTGTCTTGTTCTTTTTTCTCCTTTCTTCCCCTTTTCTTTTCCCTTTTCCTCCCTTTTTTTTTTCTTTTTTCTTCTTGTAGGTTGTATATAATATGCAAAGAAATGGTCATTCTTCGATGAAATGATTCAATATACTGTGTTAGATAAAAATAGGAGTTCAATCATCGCTAATCATTTATAAAATTTATCAACCTGCAGCTCTAGTAAATGAATTTTGTCGATACATGAAGGTGTTTTGAAGACAAAATCTAAGTGAGTTTATTGTATCTTTAACATTCAGTAATTGGAGATTGGCAAAGACTTTCTAGTGGAGTTTTCTTCCGTGTTTATTTTCATCTGGCCTTGTACTAATTAGTGATTTTTAAATCAAATCATCACAAGGGTTGGTTACGTTAATGCTAAAAAACTATGGAGTAAAAAATGAGGAAGGGACATATTCCACATTACAGAAGAAAGATTAAAACTTAATGAGTAAAAAAGTTGAGAATCGCGTGCATAAATGACAAAACTATTGTTACCATGTTACTAAATATGCTTCGAAAAATTCACAAGTTAGAGAAGTCTTGCAGAGAGAGAGAGAGAGAGACAGGTTTTAACTAAGAGCAATAAGCAAGTAACTAAGAGCAATAAGCAAGTAAGCCCTACCTAAACTAGAGAATTAGGTTTTCAACATAGCTTATAATTTAATATTTAGAAGATAACAATTTCATAACACAAATGAAACATTGCAATAGTGGGGTTCAAAGGGACCTCATGCATCCCCTCTGCCACCTGCCACGGACCCCCTTTTTCTCGAAAAATAAAAGCTACCATTTCAAAGGCAACCGCTTTCATTTCTCAACAGAATACATAAATCTCCTCCCTTGAACTCTTTACTAAATTTTTGAATGCACCTTTTAGCCTTCATGAAATGCCACCTTTTCCCCTACAAAGTTTAGAAATAGTTAAATCCTTCACTTTTCCTTTATCCCATCTTCTCTTAAAGAACATATATGATCATATCCATCCATTGATTGATGATGGATGGCATATGGACTCTATCCCAACACCAAGAAAATCCCTTGTTTTTCCCCTTGTGACCTTATTTTCTATGTGTTGACGCTTTGGAGGTGGATACATTTGAAACTGATTTAGGCCAGAAAGATCACTCACTGAACTCTCTACATCACTCCCAATGCCAGAAGTTACTGGATTTGTACCATAAAGTACTCCACAGAATTTGTTCTCATTTTGGACTGGATTTTCACTGAACTTAAAACCAAAGTTTCCTAGGAAAGAAGGGTCATTTGTGGTGGCGCCTGTTTGGGCAGCTTTCTGCAATAAAGCAGTTGCTGACATGTTGGCACAAGATGGCTGGTGAATTTGGTGTTGGCTGCTGAATAAGGATGGGATGCTAACATCTTCAACATTATTCAAAGGGATCGAAGAATTTTTGGTTAATTCTTCAGCTCCATTTGAGGAAAGTTTATTTCCCAAATCCCAATTAAATTGATAACTTGATGGTGGGGGGTTTGAGCAAGAATTAATAACAAGTGGATCAGGAAAATTATGTAATGCTCCTGAACTAATAGGAACCCCCATATGATGCATTTCTTGAAAATTTCTGGCTAAGAATTCTTGGCCCTGTGGACTCTGGCCAATCCAGTGTAATAGGCCTTGTCTTGTTGGATCCATTGCTTGATCGTTTCTTGAGATTGGCTTGAAAATGGAAGAAAAATTCTGCACCATGTTAGGCCCTAATGGTGCTCCTATGAAATGATAATTAATATTGCCTGCTACATGGTTGTTCATGTGAGATGCCCCTGTAACTCTTGCTGTTTCTTCGGCCAAGGCATCGCAAAATGCCCTGTGTGTTACGAAGCTGTCCCTCCTGCTCACAAAAAATTCGAAAAATAATCCCAGTCAAACCAACGTGTGATATACTCATGACTGGTTTGGTAACACGAACTGTGCAATGCTTGTCAGTAATAAGATAGAAAAAAAAAAAAGTTGAAATCTTGTTCATTCCATAATGGAATCATCAAATCCGGTCTACTACTACATATCAAAAATACTATAA